AACATGAAAAATAAAAATGAGCCGTAAATCTTTATTAGATTCATATGTTGCACACATCACAATCAAGCTGTACACATATGTCAATAAGAAAAACTGATAATGCAGAAACAAGCTGCTGAAGATATCAACGAGGAAGATAAAGAATGAAACCGTAAGAAAGTGATGAGATAAATTAGAGTGATGGTCATTACAGCATAAAGTTTACCGACGATAACGATATCGTTTGAATACAAACCACAACTGAAATACACCGTTTTGAAATTGGCACTTGTAACCATGTTTGTGACTGACTTCCCATTCACGATTTACGCATTTGAACGCAATGTCTTCATATGGAGGCCCAGCCTAAAGCAACAATTTTTACATAGTTCCAGATCAAAAGGACAAGTAAATACGCACCTTGAATTTTATAACTGCAAAATCTGGATCGTCACAAGGTGTGACAGTGAATGAGGGAGTTTCCGAAGGATCCAAAAGATCGGGATAAAAAATCTGCAATGAAATGTTCAGCAAAAACAAATTTTCCATCAAGGATTCTGAGCGAAACTTATGCTTACGTTGAATTTGTAGCCTTGAACAATCTTCGGAGGTGGATTATCCATATCATAATGGGTTTGATTATATTTATTCCAATCGAATCCGGTTTGAACACGGTTCAAGTAAGTGGGTTTGCGCGGTCGGTACTTATCAGACCACAAGTGTGTCTGAAATGTGAAAGCTGAGATGCCAGCATTTCCCCAGAAAACACATATGCTCAACTTCAAAAAAAAAAAAAATTCTTTGTAGAGAAAAATTTGGAAAAAAAACATCGAGAAAATTAAGCGTATTGAACGAACCTGTGCTTCCAATGGTTGCTCAACAGAGAAAGTAGATTCATCCCCTCCCATGCCCTTTCTAGCCATTGCAAGCATTTCAGCTTCAAGTTTCTGAAATAGTATGTACTACGCAAAATATAGAAGATACTAGGGACATCATGACCCAAAAGAAGAGTGTGTTAAACGTACCGTAACACCCGTAGGTACTTTTCGGTGTTGCCTCCTCTTCTCCAACAAATCATTCATGTCAGCATCTTCATCCAATATTTCGATGCCTATGAACGACAAATATAGTGCGGGGGGGG